ACGTGTTTCTTGTTGGGCCTGCCGAAGCTCTGCAAAGCACCGCGGTCAGCCGCCCTGCTCGCACCCTCCCTCCGTGGGGGCCGGGCCAGTGTCCGAGCCTGCACACCAGAGCACCCTCCAGCGGGTGGCCACCACCTTCCCATGTGACAGCGCGCTTTCCTGACCATCTGCGGCCAGGCCTGGGACAGCCTCAGCCACCCCCCAACTCCCCCACACACCCCCACCCTGGTCCCCACAGCGGAAGCGCCAGTGAAGGAAGGAGCCAGGCTTCCGTGTTATGCTCCAAGAGGCCACGTCACCTAGGTGGCAGCCAGGACCCAGCCTGGTCCCTAAGTCGGATGAAGTTAGAATTCCCAGGGAGGGCTGAGGCCTCCCAGGTTGCAGAAAGCCCGGGTGGGACTGTGTCTGGTGTCCCCTCAGCCTCTGACACATGCCTGCAGGTGGACAGCTGAACTGGGGACTGAGCCAAGGTGTGGGCCCAACCATTTCCCCCTACTTGGCAGCCCCCTCTGGGGACAAGAGGTCAGGAAAGGTCCCACCCCTTACTCCTGCAGGGGCCCAGACCCTCCTGGAGGAAGATCTGCCCGGACAGCACCCGGCCCTTGGAGGAGCCGAGGCAGCTGGCCCAGGGCAGGCACAGGCTCCCGGATCTGCGGGACACTGAGGGGTCTCCGGAGGCCTCTCCTTCCCCAGTTGGTGGGATCAGCCTCCGGCCCAACTCCAGGAGGCCCACCCACCTGGGACATCAGGGTGTCACAGGCCGAGGACAGACCGAATCCGACGGAGACTCCGCAGACGTTGACAAACTGGGGCGGCATATAGGAGAGAGCGGTATGGTCAGGCCTGGCCTGGGGGGGCCTGGGGAGGCCTCACTGGGAACGCAGCGGCCAGGCCTGTGATCTGCCTTCCCGGCCCTCGAGGAAGCCCAGTGGAAAAGCCCAAGTATGGCAGCCTGGCACGGGGCCTGGGGGTACTCACAGCCACCGCGAGGGTCACCGACGCCAGCTCCACCTTGCCCAGGTGCCCACAGAACACAGTGCTCACGAAGTAGATCAGGAAGGTCAGCACCTGGAACAGGAACTGGAGGGTGGCGGCCGGTCAGGGCTGTGAGTCCCCCTGCCACTTGGGGACACCCCCCGCCTGGCACTTTGCATTGTTCAGCCTGACAGAGCCCCGCACTGGGCACCCACAGGCACTGTGCCCCTCCCAGCCCAGCCCTGCTTGGACAGGTCTCTCCAGGTGCCCACAGGTAGGGAAGCCAGGCCTGGGAATCGGGAGGCCTGAGTCGCCCTCCCCTTCTGTCACCCATGGCCTCAGTCCCCTGGCTGCTGCTTTAAAAAATGTTTATTTTTTCAAAATTACTTATTAAATTTTTACTATTATTGGTACAGGGCACAAGGCTTCACCAGAGAAAGACAGACAGGGACTGGCCCCACAGTCGACCAAGTGGGAGTCCCGCGTCTCAACCACCACGCCACCTGCTGGCCCAGCCGCCTGGCTTCTGCTTCCGCACCTAGACGGCCATACTGCGGAAAGGCAAGCGGAGTGGCACCAGCCAAGCACCCAGCGCGGCCCTCCCCGTTATTGAGAGGTTCAGTGGGCAGTGGGCGCACACACCGCCACAGTAACAGAGGGGACTTAAGCACCCCGCAGTCTTAGCCAAGTCCCTCCCCAGGCCGTGAGGTGGCCGAGGAGTATCTCTTCTTTGTAACTTTCCGTTGTGTCTGACACTGTGACAGAGTGTGTGTGCTACTCTTTGTGGCCGGGAAAGCATTGTATAGAAAACTACTCTCAGAGTCAGCAGGTGGGGTTGTGAGTGAGGCGCTGGACCGCACATGGCTGACCAGGGTTCGAGTCCTGGACCTGGCGGCTGGCTTTCTCACTTTCCCTTTCTTTCTCTGTCTCTCTCTGGTCAAATTAAAAAGTAATAATAACAAATTAAATAAAGAATTCTAACTGCTCTTGGCCTGGCGGCAGTGGCAGACAGCTGCGTGCTGGGCTGCAGTGCTGGAAGCCACACGGCCGACCACGGACTCAGACCCTGAGTCAGCCTGAGAACCCCGTGGGAAGCACACGGAAGGGGATCCCGGGGGCGAGACCAGAGGGCCTCCTCTCGTTCTGTCGGGTGCGTGTGCACACACTCTCTTCCCTGAGCTAAAAAATACTGAGAGACGTTCCTTTGGAAACAAAACGGGCAGTAGGCCTCTCTTTCCTCCCCTGCAAATGCCCTGCAGGGAAGACCCTGATGCTCTCTGCTCCCCTGACCGTTTATCCCGGCTCTTTCAGCCCAGCCCTCCTGGGGTTTCCAAACGAGGACACACCTGTCCCTTCTGGGAGGGGCCACCTGCTGCTGAATGTGCTCGGACCCCCTCGCCTCCCTGGAGACTGTTGAGGGACAGCTTCGGGGAGCCCTACTGCTGCCTCCGGGCTGCGGGCAGTGGCCCTGGCACACTGGCCGTGGGCATGGGCAGTTTCTGGGCCGCGCCATACCAGGGTGACAGGTGCCCTCCCACCTCGCCCTGCCTGCACCCAGCGCTTCCTTACCACGGGCCCAGAAAGCACCAGGAGTGTCCGCGCCTCTGCCCCGAAGCCTCTGGGGACCAGCCTGCGGAGGGGGAGGCACCCCCCGAGGCCCCGGGGGGCTGCGTCCGGGAGGCCATCCATGGCAGCCCCGGTACCCGCACCCTGCGCGCCTGAGCGCCTCCCGGCCGCTCTGTCAGCAAGCTGCCCACTGCCGGGTCCAGGCGCTGGGCTGGCTAATGAATACGGGGCGGGAGGGGGGGAGCCGGGCGGGGGGCAACGCG